CAGCAGCAGCAGCAGGGAGCCGTACGCACGCAGACACTGAGTGGGCAGGAGATAGTCAGCCGTGTGCGCATGAGCCAAGCGGAGAGAGCCTGCGCCTCCACCCCGTCATGCCACCCCGTCGACGGCGGCAGCGCGCGGCGAATGTACGTGACGCTGCGCGTTGCCGCCGCGCTGCTGTGGGTGCCGCACTCACTGGCCTCGCTGTACGTCGCCGCCACCGCCGCCACCACCTCCGTGTTCCTGTACGTGCTGGCCTTCAGCCTTGTCGCGATTGCGCTCACGTACTACCTGGCGGCGTACAAGCAGTGCGGCGACTATCTGATGATCAGCGCCTGGGTCTTCGGCATCGTTAGCGACAGTGCGTGGACAGTGATAGCGCCCAACACAAAACCCATCTTTCAAAACGTGCTATCTTTTTCTTCTTATTCTTCTGCGGCTGCTGATGCGGCTGCGGCTTCTGCCTCTGCGGCCGCGTCATCTACGCACGACTACGAAATTCCACGATTTCTCTGGATTGCCGTGGCGATACTGCAGGGCGTTGTTGGCGGCATGCTGTGCAAGCTGAAGGACATAGATGAGGACCGCTACTACCCTGCACACTCCATTGGCGAGAGGCTCTACGTCGTGGTGCCCTTCTGCACCGGACAGTGGCTCTCCTTTATTCTGCAGAACGGTTGGCGTGGCATTGTGGTGGAGAACCTCACCATTGTGCTCTCCCTCGGGATGGTCGGCTACTGTGTGATTAGCTACAAGCTGCTGCGCGAGCACACCTCGCTGGCGCGGGGTGACCTTATTGGCTTCATTGCGGAGCTCCTGACCACGTCATTCGGCGTCGTCTTCACGGCTCTGGTGCTCGGAAGTGTCTTTGTGACTACCCTCGCAATTCCCTTCCTGAAGTCTCTCTTCTCGCTGAATGCCCTCGTGAGCTCCGTCGGCATCGTGCTGGAGCTCATCGTCTACGAGTTGAACTGATGCACTTGCATGCAAAAGCATATGAGAGCATGTGCGCACAATCACACAGCGAGCCGGAGAAGGAGAGGGCAAACGTATGAGCGTCGTCAGAAAGCTACAATGTGACTGGCTGTGTGTGTATTCAGTGGGTGGGCGAAGAAAAAAAAAAATTGGGGTCTCGCGGGATACTGGAAGAACCCCAAGTGAAGCCAACTGCAGCAGCACCAACAGCAATGAGACTGAGTGGAGAGTTATCAAGAGGCGTGAAAATGAGGAGTAGCAAAGGGACTACAACACCCACTATGAGTGAGTGGGTTTCTTATGATTTTAGCACCCTTCTCTCCCTCTTGTCACTCGTTTTGATGGTTCAACTGCGGCAACTTGGAGCATGACGAGTCATTCTTGCTCTTGCGCACAAGTGAGCGTGTGTGTATATGTGTAGGGCTCGCTATACTATTATCAAAATCCTCACTCTTCTCTCTCCTCTTCCATCACCGTGCTAGTGGCATGGCTTCTGAGCCTTTATTTCCCCACTCTTCACCTTTTTTTTTTGGTTTCGTGTTGTTGTTACTGCTGCCACATCTGCCGCCTATTTCATTCGTTGCTTCTTCTTTATTTGGGTTTGCTGTGCCACGGGGTGAGCCGCACATACACCAACCGCCCGGCCCGTTTGCGAAGCCGCTGGTGCAGGAGGGGGAAGGGAGCGTAAGATATATATATATATATATATTTCCGCACCACACCCCTCGCCCATATAAATACAGAGGGAGAGAGAGAGAAGGGAAGGAAAGAGAATACAAAGCAGTGGCAAAATTGTGAGCAGTGTCATGTCGTACTTCACTGTTTACCACGGCAACAATGAGGCGACCATGTTTAATGCCGAGTGTGCGACGGGTGCACTTGTGAGCCGCATGCTTGAGCTGCTGCTGCCGAACGTCAACATCTACACACGGCTGGAGTTGGTGCCGCTCACTTTTGTGCTAGAGCAGTTCAAGCCTCCAGCAGGCAGCTGCGTCACAAGTGCGGCCAATCGCAGTGGGCAGCAGCCACATGACGCTGCATTTGAGACGAATACCACGTCAGCCAGGACAGTGCCATTTACTGGCAACATTCCCCTCTTGGGACTTGCCACGCGACCGGTTGAGAGTTATGCAGACACCCTCCTCGGTGGCGCGACGACTGCGGCACCATCACCCTCCGCAGCATCCTCCTCTGCTGCTACTGCTGCTGGCGGTGGCGTTTCGAATGCTGCGGCGGGCAGTGCTGGCGGCATATCGGGCGCACCGTCAGTGTCGCTTCAGAACTGCTATGTGCTGCTCGGGTGCCGCCACCACCATCACCATCAGCCACAGCAAATACAAGACTCTACAAACACTCCCGCAACAACTGCGTACACAGGAGGGAGTAGAGCAAGTCCAACGGCAATTCGACGGTTGGGCGGCGTCGATGCCATCGCCATGGAGCATCGCACCGCCGTGCTTCGCCGCGCGCAGATAATCGCGGCGGTCCCTATTGTGGCACCCATCGGACGCGGTGCCGGCGCGTCATCTACCGCTGGTAAGGCCTCCGCATCGCAGCAGCAGCAGCAGCAGCAGCAGCAGTCTGCATTAGGGGCAGGTGGCACTCATGACGCTGCGTTGCTCCTCGCACACAACAACGGTCTCACACTCAGCGGCCCCAGCAGCGCGCCATGGCGCAAGGCATTCGGTCAGTTCCTCACCACTCTCTTATTGCCGCCCACGAATGAGACCACTTCCAGCGCCAACGCCACAGCAGAATTGGACCGACTGCAAAACCTTTCTACCACCAGCCCGCCCTCCCAAGCATTATACGAAAAAATGGGCTGTCCGACGCTCTTGCCAGCGGTTGCCACGGGACAGTTCAACAAGCCAACACCACCGATCACCGGATACGACGTTCTCTGGCGCAGTCCACGCGGTGAGCATCTGCGCCTGCAAACCGCACTTGATGAGAGGGTAGTTACCGACATCGACACCAAAAAGAAGCGGCCGAAAAAGTCGTAAAAGCGAAAAAAAAAAAATCGGTTTACAATACTGTAACTTCCTATACACGACACTTTGCACCTTTTTAAATACACCAGGGCACCACACGCAAACCAACCAAAAACAATTAGAAAACCAATGTACACCATCAATACGACAAATCAGAAGAAGAAAAAAACCGAAACGTTTCATAATGTAACATAACAGATAACTCTATTGTTCGTCTGCACGTAGTTGCGCTGTGCCCTATCCCCCCTTTCGCTCCTCTTCCGCTCTCTCATATTCGCGCCTGTGATGACGTGCGGCCCACCTGCGCGTACCAGAAGGCCCCTGCTGCTTGCTACGCTTGCCATTTACTGAACCGCCGAGGTGAGAGCCCGATTGCTAATGATGATGTCGCGTTACGTCTTGTGCGTGCTGTCCGTTGCCCTTTGCTTTGCCTGCGCGTGCGTGGTGGCACAGGACGAGGCAACAACCACGACAACCACTGTGGCTCCCGGACAACCGGCGACGACGACAACCACTGTGGCTCCCGGACAACCGGCGACGACGAC